ACTATTCTTTTGTGAGTTTTTAACCACAACAATGAGCAATTTCACAGTATGTTGCCAAAAGCACTACGGTATTTTAAGAGATTGTGACTCAGCTATTTCATTGCTGCTCTAGCTTTAGATGTCACAAGTGCTGATTTTCACTCTGTGGTTTCATGGCAAGACTTTGCACAGTATTTCACCACCCACAAACATGGGCACATTTCATTTCTCAGTGATGAGATCTTTTGCCACTTTCACTTTATGGAGTTGCCTGAATGGGATTTGAGCTGTTTTAGTGATCAGACTCATTTTTAAATAACAAAATCTTGAAAATTAGAGTTTCAGAGTATTTGAATCTGACAGACCTCATTCTCTCCGTGAACTACTTCTCTAGCATGGTATCAACCAAAGCACTGAAGAGCAGTAGGATGCTCGATAGATTGACTTCCTAGTCATGCTGACAGGCACTTTTGAGGTAAGAACAGCTTAAAAATCGGCTGGGAGAGAATGTGTTCCTTCTTTTTCTGTTGTCCCAGTTTTCTTAGATTCTAGTTAGAACTGCTTACAGTTTTACTGCATTGCATTTTTGCTGAAAGCAAACTGTCATATGCTCAACACACCATTAAAAGCTGAATGATCTATGGATAACTCACCTTCTTAATAAATGGTGCTGAGGTACTACCTCAGTTCTCATGGAAACTCCTCTGTGAAGGCTGCTAGTTGATAGCTGGTGGCTTCTGGGGTCACAGAGCTTCCATGCTGAGTACTCAAAGCCAAAGGCAACAGCATTTCCAGTTGCTTATGACACAGACAAGTCTGACAGCTCTACCTGGATTAGGACCACACCAGTGTCCTGCACTGGTGTCCTGTGTAGTTTTACTCTTTATCCAACACAGGTTAGAAAGCATTCAGTTTGTCTAATTAAAAAAAAATCTTTCCTTTAATTGTGTTTTGTTCTTGTGCCATTTTCACCATCAGTTGGACACAGTCATTTTCTTCTACCATATAAGCAATATAAACAATGACTATCTCAGATGGCAAATTCTCTTCACCTCTTTCTGTGCTTTGTGCTTAG